ACAGTCTGCAGCCTGGGATGGCAGCTCACACTGGCGGCTGCACTGTCCCACCCTGCCTGCAGTATGCAAATTAGCCACCATCTTTGTTGGTGGTTAATTTGCATATCATGCTGATTAGCCAATGGAAGGTGTAGTGAAGGTACAGTCAATTACCATGTTTGTCTATTATTAGATAGGATACTAGAGGCCTGGTGCATTAAATTCATGCACGGGTAGGGTCCCTAGGCCTGGCCAGTGATCAGAGCTGATTGGGGCCTTCTGGCTGCCAGCTGGGCCTCCCTTCCTCAGCTGCCGGCCACCAGCAGTGCCTTCCTTCATTCCATGCCGCCCCCTTGGTGGTCAGCGCATGTCATAGCGAGTGATAGAACTCCTGGTCTCCCAGTCTAACTCCCAAGGGGACACTTTGCATATTATCCTTTTATATATAGAGATGACTTTACTCAAATGTAATCTCAAATAAGTGAAATAATATAGTCCCCAAATCTTCTTTATTAATTTTAAATCTTTTTCCTACAATTACTTTACTGAAAACAGTTTCATACTGAAATAAGCAGGACTAATACATATTTTACCTCCCATTAATTTACCTGCAAATTCTTGGGTAGCAATGCTTAAAAGAGAAATAAAGAAAGAAAATGTAACTGAAAAGGTAACTAGTGAAATAGGAACCAGCTCAATTATAAACCATGTAAATAACTTAATAATAATATAATTGGTTATAATCTATAGTCCATATTACCACATGGTTTCTAGCTAAAAACATCAAATGTTATTAGTATCGCCAAATAAGGGTTTCAAATTTCTTAAAATCTCTTTTTTAAAACGAATGCAATATATTTCCAACAAAGACATAAGAATGGCAGAGAGAACATGTGCTAATGTTCTTCTTTCAATTGCTTACCAAAGGATTTCAATGTGTATACCTCATGTGCCATATAAAATTAGAAACTTCAGTGAGAGACTGTGGTCCCTGGTAGACTATGAAATATTTCATAATTTACTCATTGCCTTGTTAATATGAATGTGATGTCGCAGTAGTATATTTGTGTTGACTTTGGAATTAATGAACACATTGACACTTGAAGATAAGTTCTTATGTGGGTAGTTTGCTATTCTTCTTAGGAAACTGCCACAGTAGTGATCTAATTTTGCAACATCCAGAAATAATTACACATACGTTTAACTCCAAATTTGGATAGAAATATCACTAGAATATAAAATAAACTGCCAGGGAATTTGCCTTTAAAAATTCTAAATTTAAAAAAGTTCTTATATCTCATTCAATATGACAACAGAAATTATACCTGTTAAAATGTGTGGTTTTGAAACCTTAGCCTAAGGTTTTAGTCAATAACTTCTGAAGTATTATTTTCCCCTTCCCCAACATTTATGTGGCACTAAAATTGATTTGCCTTATAAAGTTTATTACAACTAAAAACAAAAACCCAGCTTTTGTTTGATAAAATAACAATCTTCAACCCATATGTAAGAATCATTTTGGCTTATTTAGTAAGTACATATAAGTCTCTCATGGCCAAAAATATATATGAAAGAATGAAATTAAATCCATTCAAAATAAGACAGGTGACCAAAAAAAGTTACTGCTTTTTAAATGCTTTAATAACACACTCAGAATTTTACCATGAGGAGGATTCACAATTCTAATTAACATTTAAATACAATTATAAAGAACAAAAGACCGAACACATTTATGGACAAACTGTAGCATCTGTCTTTAGGTTCATAAGCTGCCAAATACATTTTAAATGTATAGCATATGAAGTCACAGACCAATAAGGTTAGAAGGAAACCCTCCAAATTAATAGCTTAACTATAATCAGATTCATCTTGATACAGAATAATTTTTAACTCATGTGTTGGTCATAGATACACATAGATGTCAACCATAGGGCCTTGCAAATGTGGAAGGCCATTTACATTTAAAATGAAGTATAATAGACAACCAGAATAAAATCAATTTCCTTTGTTACTGTTTTATAGTTTGAATATAAGCACCTGAAATGTTAATATGAGATAAAAATTTCACTACTTAAGCTCACATTACATGTACCCAAATTACAACTGAATACAGCAAAAATTTAGATACACTGTAGCCTCTGGTTTTAAAATAACAGACTGGTGAAAACATTTAGAAATTCAAATGATATGAAGTCACAATAGGGAGTGGAAAACCTTAAGACAATTTAATTCATTCACATTGCACAGCTGATTAAACTAAAGAATGGGGCAAGGAGACCATAACAATTGTTGTGTGCTTTTGAAAATGACAGAAACTACCTTAGTTGTAAGAAATGCAGATTGACCATTTTAGAAGCATTTAATCTTCAAATTAGCAACTCAAAACTTGCCATTATAGGTGAATAAAAGTTGCAGGATGTCAAATGTCTATGTAGTTACTCTTCTGAAGTCAAGATGCCCTATGCTGAGGCTTTAGAACAAATGTACACTTCACAAATAAGACAGTGAACATAAATTATTAAAAGTCAAGATAATAGTCACATCGAAGTAAGGTAAATTTTCTTGATACACAAAAATTTTTCTAATGACTGGTTCAGTAAAGAACTTAAAATGAAGTCTGTTAACTCCAAATACAAGACTAACATTAAACTACTTAATAACTTGGGAGCTTATGTAATATTCTTGCAGAAAAACAGTTATCAAAATTACCAACAAAATGATAGAATATAATTAATGCATTGCCCTATTTAACAATCTGTAATAATTCCATTTGCTAATTTTAAGGAGCATTATCTGGTCTATAAATTTTATGTAAATAGACTTCTACATTGTTGTTACCCAAATTACAGATATCCAAGATACAGATGACATGCATTCTATCCAGTTTAGTTGCTGCTTTTATAATATCACCTAAAAATAAAAAGCAGATGGTAAGTATTGTAAAATAATTAAATATTTACTTTTATTTAATATCACATAAACTGATATTTTTTCTTATAATATTAACCCTGTGCTTCATCTTCTTCCTCTTCACTCTAATTCATCACACACATTCATCAAAGGTATGCTATAATAACTTCCACAGATAACAGTGAATACATCAAACAGATGCTGCCAGTAATGTCAAGATATGGGCTGGTACTTCAAAGCAATATTTAGTTATATTTATTTTTTAATTTTTATAGTGGAGCAATGCAAATCTACATATTTTCAAGGCAATTAAAAGAAACTAGTTCATAAAAAATGTTTAAAAAGATGACACCAATGCTATACTATAAGGCACTGCATTACATTATTCTGTACTTATTTTTACCTTTCAAGTTGACCTTTCACTTTGGAATTATTGGAGGAATGAAAAAGTTTTAAATCAGACAGATCTGAGTTCAAGTCCCAGCTGTTACCCATGCTAGTAAATCTGATTTTCAGTGTAATCATCTTTAAATATAGGAAAATAATATTCACATTGCAAGGTTCTTATTATTAGAGTTAGTCATAACTTATAAAACTGTTCAGGCACAGTGCATGGCACAAAGCTAAAGTGACACAACATTGTCAATAGGATTTTATATTAATCCTCACCTGAGGATATGTTTTTATTGATTTGAGAGAGGAAGGAAGGGAGAGTGAAACATCAATTGGTTGCCTCTTGCATGCACCCCAAATGGGGATCAAACCTGCAACCTAGGTATATGCTCTGACCAGGAATTGAACCCAAAACCTTTCAGTATGTGGGATGATGTTTCAACCAACTGAGTCACCTGGCCAGGGCACATTATTTATAATCTTATGTGATGAAAAAGAAAATAAATCACCTCACTTTTGATTACCCTATCACTTTTCTTTTCTAGTGATTTTTGCCCTTCATCTCCCAAATATTAACCAGATATTTTCATGTGACAATGTTAGTGACTGTTGGAAGAATATTGGCACTAGAAACTAGTAGGTAGCTGAGAATTTTGCCTTGATATTCTTCAATAATAACATATACATATAGCAGAAAAAAGTGACAGAAATGGATATTGTATGAAGTAAGAAAATAACTGTACAAATATTTAAAGTGCATATTAGGGCACAAAGGAATCTGGAATTTTTGGAAGTTTAAGGAGCTGCAATGTAAGAAGTAATACTGCAAGTTGACTAATAATCATTTCTAAAATAGACTGTGAGAAAATAAAAACCCTTCATCACATAAAATTGGCTATTCATGTTCAGTTTACAGTAAGCGTTAATACCAAAAGCTACTTATTCATCAGGCACAGCTCATAAGACTTGTTTAAAAACAACATACACTCAAGAGTTCCATCAGCATAGAAAGACCATAGATAATAAAGGCTTTCTTAAAATATAACTTAAATGTAATATCCTTATAAGCTCAATGAAACGTTCTAAAAACTTTACCACATGCTTAGGAAATAGAAATAACAAAAAAAGTGAATAAGGTAATCATGGACACATAATTTTATAGGTATATATAAATAATTTTGGTATATAGAAATAAGTTTGGCATATTATGTAGTAGCCTAAACAGTTGGTTGAAGGGTTTCACTACTGGGATTACATATACTCCTAGCACTCCTCAAGGAGTTTATTGCATAGCAGTTGAATAACTAAACATTTATAAGAGAAAACAATTGTACTATACTATGCTATGGAGGTATTAAAATTTCAGGCAATTATAAGGTGAAAGAATAAATCAGTGATGGCGAACCTATGACACGCGTGTCAGAGGTGACACGCGAAGTCATTTTTTTGGTTGATTTTTCTTTGTTAAATGGCATTTAAATATATAAAATAAATATCAAAAATATAAATCTTTGTTTTACTATGGTTGCAAATATCAAAAAATTTCTATATGTGACACGGCACCAGAGTTAAGTTAGGGTTTTTCAAAATGCTGACACACCGTGGTCAAAAGGTTTGCCATCACTGGGATAAATTGTCTCATCTGAGTTAAAAGGGAGAGAAGATTAGAAATTTGCACTGCTCCCATGTGCATACCACTTAGGTCCAATACTTACATTCAGAATCCTATCTAATAAAGAGGGAATATGCTAATTAACCCTCACACCAATGCAAAGATGGTGGCACACACAGCCAATAAGGGGGAAATATGCGAATTGACTGCCCCACCCTCAACGATGGCAGCGCCCACAGCCACAACATGGCTGGCAGGGGAAGGCAGATGTGGGAAATCAGGCCAGTCAGCAGGGGAGGGCAGTTAGGGGCAACCAGGCCAGCAGGGGAGGGCAGTTGGGGGCGACTGGGCCGTCAGGGGAACAGTTAGGCGTTGATCAGGCTGACAGGGGAGTGGTTAGGGGGTGATCAGGCTGGCAGGCATAAGTGGTTAGGGGCAATAAAGCAGGCAAGCAGGTGAGCAGTTGGAAGCCAGCAGTCCGGGATTGTGAGAGGGATGTCTGACTGCCGGTTTAGGCCTGATTCCACAGGGATCGGGCCTAAACCAGCAGTTGGACATCCCCGAGGGGTCCCAGATTGGAGAGAGTGCAGGCTGGGCTGAGGGACATCCCCTCCCTCAGTGCACAAATTTAGTGCACCAGGCCACTAGTTGTATTATAAGAGAAAACTCTTCAGTTAAAAACATTTTTTTTAGATAGAGAGGAAGGGAGAGGGATGGAGAGATGGAAAAATCGACTAGGTGTTCCTGCACACCCCCTACTGGGGATCGAGCCTGAAACCTAGGCATGTGCCCTGACCAGGAATCAAACCAGGGACCTCTTGGTTTATAGGTGGACTCTCAACCACTGAGCAACACCAGCCAGGCTATAAGAGAACATGGTTAATGCTTGCCTAGAATAAAAACCATTAATCCATTCTATTTTGTTTAAAATATATATTTTCGCCCTAGCCAGTTTGGCTCAGTGGATAGAGCGTAGGCCTGCAGACTCAAGGGTCCCAGGTTCGATTCCGGTCAAGGGCATGTACCTTGGTTGCAGGCACATCCCCAGTAGGGAGTGTGCAGGAGGCAGCTGATCGATGTTTCTCTCTCATCGATGTTTCTAACTCTCTATCCCTCTCCCTTTCTCTCTGTAAAAAATCAATAAAATATATTAAAAAAATAAAATATATATTTTCACTTATAAGTCTTGGGGTACATTTATAAAATAATTCTTCAAACTGTATTAAATGTTAAGGCTAAAACTGTTTATAGCAGGGGTGGGGAACCTTGAACCTTTTTTTCTTCCAAGGGCTACTTGGATATTTATAACGTCATTTACGGGCCAAACAAAATGATTAACTTAAAAATTATGTTGCTATGAAAAAAGCTCCTAGATTTATTGAATTTCTTGTCCCACCTGTGCTTTCCTTGGCAGGGCCAGACCAAATGATACACCTGGCAGACCAGACGGTCCCCACCTCTGGTTTATATAAAAACATCTTAAGGTTAGGACTGTTTACAATATTTTTTTTTCCTTTTTATTGAACATATTGGGGTGATACTGGTTAACAAAACTAGACAGGTTTCAGGTGCACAATTCCACAAAACATGACTATTTACAATACTAATTTTATTTTCTGAATGAAAAGAACACTGAGACGGTCATACCTGCAAGGGCTCTTGGACCTGGCATCCTCTCAGAATCAGTTACTTCCTGTGGATACACACAGCTGTAATTCATACAGGATAATAATGTGTCTATTTGAGATGTTCGGATATCTTCTGGACAGTACAGGGGTAGAAATGCAACATCAATTGCTCTCTCATGGTTCAGACCTTTAAAGAAAAATTATGCTTTATTAAAGTTTAGTGGGTTAGTATATGGTGCTAATGAGGCCAAGTTGCTGATTTGATCCTAATATATGCCAAATAGCTTCACACCTATAAAAGACAGTTTGAGCCCTGGCTGGCGTGCTCAGTGGTTGGGGCATTGGTCCACACACTGAAGGGTTGAGGATTTGATTCCCAGTCAAGGGCATGTGCTTGGGTTGCAGGTTCATTTCCCAGCCCGGGTCTGGGCATGTGTGGGAGGCAGCCAACTGATGTGCGATGTGTCTCTCACATTGATGATCTCTCTCCCCCCCCTCCCTCCCTCCCTCTCTCCCTCCTTCCGTCCCTCCCTCCCTCCTTCCCTCATTTCCTTCTCCCTCCCTCCCTCTCTCCCTCCCTCCTTTCCACTCTATCCTCAGGAGAGGATAAAAAAACGACAGTTTGAAAACTGTGGCCTAAACTCTTAGCTGTGCAAACATTTACGAATACATGTTATTGGTTGAAAGAGGAGACAGTTCAGTGCAGTCTTTCACCACTGCTGGAAAAAAAATTTCAAAAAATTTTCTCTACTGATGAAAGGTTGAAGGTTAAAATCTTAATACGCAGAGAACAGCCTCATCACATAAATGAAGACTTGCATAGTGCTTTCTTCATCATTCATGAGAAAACTATTGGTTCTCTCATTGCCATTTGGACTTAAGGATATACTGCTATGGTATGGAATGGTATGGTATGGTATGGTATGGTATGGTATGGTATGGAACGGTATGGAACGGTATGGTATGGAATGGTGTGGTATGGTATGGTATGGAATGGTATGGTATGGTATGGAATGGTATGGTATGGTATGGTATGGTATGGTATGGTATGGTATGGAATGGTATGGTATGGTGTGTGTGGGTGTTTCTATACCAAGAGCAGCTTTTTCTTCTGTGGCAATGCACTATAATTAAACACAATACATGAGGTAAATCCAGGTCACTTGGAATGAAAGCCTCAGGGGCATGAGGAAAAAAGACAGAAACAGAGGGTAAGAGCTGGAGAACTCATTCAACACAAGCCCCAAAGTCCACTAGCTTGCCAGAGTCATAGAAATTCTTCGTTAAGAAGAGGTTGATACTTGGCCCTGGCCAGTTTGGCTCAGTGGGTAGAGCATCGGCCTGTGGACTGAAGGGTTCCAGGTTCCATTGGAGTCAAGGACATGTACCTCAGCTGCAGGCTCATTTCCCAGCCCGGGTCTGGGCATGTGTGGGAGGCAGCCAACTGATGTGCGATGTGTCTCTCACATTGATGATCTCTCTCCCCCCCCTCCCTCCCTCCCTCTCTCCCTCCTTCCCTCTCCCTTCCTCTCTGAAATCAATAAAAATATGTATTTTTTTAAAAAGACTATTGCTATCAAATTGTTTTCTTTCCCATTCCAAATGTAAACTTTCAGGTTTATCAAAATTTATGAAATGCTGTAAACAGTTGAAAAGTCATGTAAGAGTAGTATAAGAGAGTAATCCTGACCCAAATATCATTATCCTATCAGATCTGAACTTAAAAATGAACTCCCTTCAGTTTGCCACCTAAAACTTATCTCTTCAGCTCTCAAAATTATGCACAGAATAGCTTTTAGGTATTGAGATAGCACCATAATAACTAGGTCCAATCTGTCCTCAAATATATAAGTGTCAATAACTTACTCTTAGGGCTATAAGAGGCTGCAGTAGAAAAGAGGCTATAGGGGACCAACCAAACTGAATCCTGACCTACTACTGTCATCTTTTTACATGGGTCAATGTCAGTTAGGGTGGACAAAAGACTTCCTAGAGGCAAGGGTCCGAGCTGGGTACTAAAGGATGAATAGCTTTTAAGTAAACAGGAGGGTATTTCAGGCAGGGAATGGAGCAGCCAAAAGTATAGGCCAGAGTAAGGAGCCCATTGTGGCTGAAGCAAGGGTAAACACACAGAACAAAACTATATGAATTCTATCTAGTTACCCAAACCAGAAACCTGGGAGCTATCTGTAACTCCTCCCTTTCATTCTTCTATGATATTTGTCACAGGGTCCTATAGATTATATGACCTTAATATCTCTCCTATTCATCCTTACAGATATTCTTAACTACTTAGTATGATCCAATGATGTGTAAACAAAGTCCTTCCTGTTGAGTTGTAAACTAATCCACAAATGCAAATCCATTATTTGCTTGTTATGGGCAAATGACACAAAATTCCATAGCTTTAAGGTAACATACGACTAAGGGCTAAAGATTTGTAAGGAATTACTAAAATTTGGTTTTCATAAACTAAAATAGCCATGATATCTAGAATTTACTGAGGATTCCAACTCAGTATTACAAGTATAGCTACCTCATGAAACTTAGCAATGCTGCAAAACCCTTGTAAATGTGCACATTCGGGTGTCTTATTTCCTTGATGCTAAGATTAAATTTAACTCTCAGATATAACTCTCATCAATTTAATAAGTATTTTATTTTACTTATTTATTTTCTTAAATGTATTTTTATTGATTTCAGAGAGGAAGAGAGAGGGAGAGAGAGATAGAAACATCAATGATGAGAGGAAATCATTGATTGGCTGCCTTTTGTACACTCCCTACTGGGGATCGAGCCAGCAACCAGGGCATGGGCCCTTGACCAGAATCGAACCTGGGACCCTTCAGTCCGCAGGCTGATGCTCTGTCCACTGAGCCAAACCACCTGGGGCTAATAGGTATTTTAAATAAAAAGTAAACACTGCATTCAATGCATCCATTGACCATAAAATGCAGTCCAACTTGCAAATGTGAAAGAAAATATGCTTTGAAATTGAGAAATATCTGAAGTTGGAAATCCTGATATTTTCAGGAAGATAGTTTTATTATCAGCATGTCATTGATACTACTTTCAGTTAATTCTTAAACTGTAAATTAAAGTAATTTAGATTCTATACTATCTACACTAATAAAAGAGAAAACATGGTAATTGGCATACGACCGCTACCCTTCCCATTGGCTAATCAGCAAGATATGCAAAGTAACTGGCAGCCAAGATGGCAGCCAGCAGCCAGGCAGCTGATGCGAACAGGGAGGCTTGCTTGCTTCAGTGACGGAGAACTCCAACGTTCCCTGCCTGACTTGCCGGCCTCTCAGCTACAACTCTAAGCAACTATGTTGTGAATAAAGAAGCTAAAAAAAAACCAGAAACCTGCTTTACTCAGCAGAGCTTCAGGCAGCCA